AGGCATTAGATCGTCATAACTGTGAACATCGTGAGCTTGGCGCAGCTCGTACCGATCACGGGTTTCGTACCTCACAGTATCTTATTAATATTCGTTTTTATTAGATTTATTAATTAAAGCGACATTTAAGTTGATTTTCTGTTATGAAAAGAGTTTGGGACGACATACAGCAGCTTCGCTTTTGCACACAGGATTTCTCCCCAAGAAATTATGATAAATACGCGATGGTAGTCTTAAAATCATTATTTGTCATATAAATAATAATTTACTATTGAACCGATTACAAAATTAAATGACTTTTTATCGTAATTTAGGCCCGGGAAAGAAGGTTGCTTCAAAACAGATACTGTATTGTTATATAATAGTGATTGTACCGAAGTATTAAATTGGGGTGCACCCGCGTTAGCTCATGTGTCAAAAAGGAGTAGAAATAATATTAGGGAATTGGGTTCATCACTTCCACCGCAACACCATATTATTGAAAGATTCAAATTATTTCTAGACGATAATGCATCAGACAAGCCATATTTACCACCAAATTTAGATTATAGAAAGGCTATTAGTGATTATTTAAATAAAATGAAAGAAGTGAGTACTTTTAAGCTTAACATAAGTTCTCATGAATATTGATCGCTTACGGATTAAATACTGTAGGTCATAGAAGAAACACTTGAACAGCGTTGGCCGGCCCTTAAATTATCACAAGTATTATTTGTCTTAAGTGTGCCTGCGGAATGGGTAAGTTACTAACCTGTCAAAAGTTTAGGAAACAAGCGAGTCACTAAAACACTCGATTCCTTATTTTTTTTTATCATTAGGGACCACGTACTAAAGCTATAATGCGCGACTGCGCATACAAAGCTGGATTGTAATATGTTTTATTATGTTTTTGAAGTTTAACTATAACTTGTAACCTTATTTATCGCTTACAATTAATTACAGATTAAACGAATCCATCGCATCGCACCTAGAATTTGTAACAGAACGTAATTATCTTTATTTCGTATCTTGTTTAACGATAAGGCCACGCAAAGTTGATTTTTCGTTTTGCATTACATGGATTTCAAAATTAGGGACGGACGGACGGATTTTTTTTTT